GACCCTCGGCCCGCGGCTCGGGCCGGACCGCTCGTCCCGGCTCCTCGCCCCAAGCCCAGAGTGAAACTTGTCTCCCTCGGGATCTTCTCTCCTGCCGCCCACACGTCGCTCCCCATCTCTCCCTTGCTCTCGCCCGCCGTCTCGCCGCTCTCTGGCGCTCTCGCTGCTTCTTTCTCCTTTTCTTCGCCTCTTAGTAGCGTCTTCTTCTCTCCCAAACCTGTGGTCCCCACCCCTCTGCGGGACGCGCCTGGCCCCCGTGCCCGGCCTGGCCCGTCCCGACTTTGGTTCTCAGCTGGTTTCATCAGCGTCTCCAGTAAGGCCTGGAGATCCCAGACCTGGGCATCTTTTCCACTGGGAAAATTGACCCCGAGGCAGCTGCTTTCCTTCCCTCCCATCTCCATCAGCAGAGGGGGAAACTAAGGCAGGGACATCACCAGCTCAAGGTCACAGACAGCATGAGGCAGGGCAGAACTCCCTTTAAACCTCATGCCTGAGTTTCCAGGCTGCACTTCTCGCTTGGTTGACTCACTTCCACGTCCTGGGATCCGCTGCCGGTTGGCGCATTCCTGCTGGAGAGCTGCCTGCCTCCCCCGGCATAAGGAGGGCCTCTGCGTGCCTCCTCCATGCCAGGGGCGCTCACCTGCATTATCAAGCTCAGCTTCTCTGTACACTGAAGGAGGCAGTGCTATCGCCATCCTCAGAGAGGGGGCTTCAGGCACTTGCCTGAAGTCAACAGTTAAAAGTGCAGAGCACAGAGGTAACTGCAGGTCTCCCGTGCCCTGTGCATCTGTGAGGCATCTCCTGGCTAAAGGATCCTTTCTGTCCAGTCCCACCTCCTGCCTTTTTCCCTTTGCCAGGGGCATTGGGTTCATTTCCTAAGAGGAAGCTTTGATGGTCTTGTCCTAACTCAGCTTCTTGGTTTGCCCACTTGCACCTCCTAATGCCACACCATTAACCTGGACAGTGTTGGCCTCCGTCCCTGGAGTGTCCTATTGGGACACATCCTGGCAGCAAAGCTGCCCCTGGCAGAGCCAGAAACACTCGGCTGGGCCGGGCCAGTGCCTTGCCCTCTCATTAGGGAAAGTTTAGCTTCAGGCAGACATGCTGACACACCGTCTGGAGCAGGCTCCAAAGGAAAAAATGTGTGGTCCTTGGGAGTGGGGATGTGGAGGAGCAGAGCCCCTTTGCTTTGTGCACCCACCATTCAGATCCTCGGATGCCATGGCCACTTGGCAAGAGGGGGTTGAGAAGCCACGTCTCCTGAGCAGGTGCGTGGCCAAGGGTGGCAGCCGGCTTAAGTGTTCTTTGTGTTTTTCAGAACGTGGCATGCCTGGATGTCCGTGCCCTGGCTGTGGCATGGCGGGCCAAAGGCTCCTCTTCCTCACTGCTCTTGCCTTGGAGCTCCTGGGAGAGGCTGGGGGCTCCCAGCCAGCCCTCCGGAGCCGAGGGGCCGCAGCAGCCTGTCGCCTGGACAGCAAGGAGAGCGAGTCCTGGGGGGCCCTGCTGAGTGGGGAGAGGCTGGATACCTGGATCTGCTCCCTCCTGGGCTCTCTCATGGTGGGGCTCAGTGGGGTCTTCCCCTTGCTCGTCATTCCCCTGGAGATGGGGACTGCTCTGCGCTCAGAAGGTGAGTGACCCTCTTCTCACGCCCGGGGTGCCCAGCAGTGGGAAATGTGCTGCTGCTCTTCTGGGAGACCCAGGGTCTCTCATCCTGGGTTACAGTGTCTAATTTCTCACCTGGGACCTGGGAGACCAAGGTGCGCCCTGCTCATTTGTTCATTCATCTGTACATTTTTTTGTCCTTTCAGTCAGCAAACATTCACCAAGAAGCAGTATAGATAGACGTTGGAAATATGGATGCCAGGCCACATGAGTTCAAGTCCTGGCTCTGCCACCTACCAGCTGGGTGGCATTAGGTGGCCAAGTTACTTCACTGTGCCTCAGTCTCCCAACCTTTAAAATGGGGATAATAATAGTATCTACTCATAGGTACTATTGTGGAGATGAAATGAACTAATATAAGCAAAGCATGTAGGAAAGTGCCTGGCTCAGGGAAAGGGTGGGTTTGCAGGCCTTGGGCTGGACACAGACAGGCGGTAGAGAGCAAGGCACTACCTCTGCCTTCAGTCTCTGCTCACAGTGCAAGCCATTATCAAGCCAGGAGCAGCTGGGTCAGTGCTCCCCAGGAATCCACAAGAAGCCCAAGAGGCTGGTAGCAGGGCCTGCCTCTGGGAGGGGATCTGGGAGAAGGGGGCACAGCTGTGGGTGGGAGCCTTTTCCTTGGCTCCCCTTTTGTGCCATGTGCATGTACCACTGCCTCATCTCAAATCGTTGTTGTTAGTTGCCGTCAAGTTGATTCCGACTCATGGCGACCTCACGTGTGCAGAGTAGGGACTGTTCCACAGGGTTTTCAAGGCTGTGACCTTTTGGAAGTAGATTGCCAGGCCTTTCTTCCAGGGCATTCAAGCATCCAACCTTTCAGCTAGTAGCTGAATGCTACCATTTGCACCACCTAGGAACTCCTCTGATCACAAATAATGTGTTGTAATTAAAAACAAAAAGAGTATATGGGAAGCTGCTAAAAATGCAGGTGTCTGTCCCCCTGCCCGACCCCAGAGTGTAACATAGTAGGTCTGGACTGAGGCCCCAGGAATCTGTAATGAGCGCCCAGTGGCTTGTGCTGCCCCCTGGCCTGGGAACCATTCGCTCAGCAGGCAGAGCAGCTCCTCCATGCCAGACACTGGCCTGAGGGCTGGGACAGCTGTGATCTGAGCCCTCATGGGGCCTGCTGTCCTGCCAAGGACCCTGTGCGTCAGCTTACCCCCTTCTCAGAGCAGCCCTGGAGGTTGGGGTAGGGAGGACTGGGATTGTTAGCTCCATTTTACAAGTAAGTAAGCACAGGCACAGAGAGGTTCTTTGGGCAGCCCCAGGCCACCCAGCCTGAAAGGAGCAGCTTCCCCTGGAACCCCACCCCACCACTGAGCTGCCCCTGCCCTTGGGGCCTCAGTTTCTCTATCAAACCAAGGGGCTGGACGTGGTCCTCTTAGGGCATTTCCAGCTCTGGATGCTGCAAGTTTGCAAAAGTCCACAGATAAACCTCTGTCCCTTTTCTAAGAGTGGCTGGTAAGAGAAAAGTTCCCAGTTAATGAACACTTGCTATAAGATTGTCATTTAATTCCCGCAAGATCTCTATCAGAGATAGTTATCCCCAATTTGTAGATGGGGAAACTGAGTCTCAGAAGTCCCCAGGTCCCCAGCTGGTGAGTTGAGCTGTCAGGCTCCAAAACCCAAGGTCTTAACCATGGTGTGGAGGTGGCTCCACAGCCATCCAGAAGGTCGTGGTGTGTGCCAGCTGAGCACGTGGCCCTTGCTGGCCTGCAGGGTGGGGGACCCAGGGACAGCAGCAGCCCCTATCCAGCCTTCCAGAGGCTTGTGGTCTGGTGGGGACAACAGAAGGAGCCCAGTGAGCTGGGTGGGACAGAGGCCAGGCAGGGCTTCAGTGGTGGGTCAGCCCCCAGCACCCAATCTCTGCCTTGTAGCTGGGGCCCAGCGCCTGAAGCAGCTGCTCAGCTTTGCCTTGGGGGGCCTCTTGGGCAACGTGTTTCTGCACCTGCTGCCCGAAGCATGGGCCTACACGTGCAGCGCCAGCCCCGGTGAGTGAGGCTGCAGCCCGGGGGCAGGAGGGCAGGAGGGCAGGAGGGGGATCTGGTGCCCAGGCCTTCCCTGCTCTGCCAATGACTGGGGGAAGGGCTCTGGGTATCTAGCAGGACTTCACCTGGGAGGGAGGGTCACTGTCCTGGTCCCAGCGCCTTGGAGCCCAGAGACCCCTCCAGCCAGCCTTGGAGTGGCCTCCACTCCTGTGGCCCTGGCTTGACCTGACAGTGCCACCTCTGCAGGTGGTGAGGGGCAGAGCCTGCAGCAACAGCAGCAGCTGGGGCTGTGGGTCATCGCTGGTTTCCTGACCTTCCTGGTATTGGAGAAGATGTTCCTGGACAGCACGGAGAAGGAGGGGCCCGGCCAGGTGAGCCCCAAGCCCAGGGCCTGGCTACATCAGCCTCTCATCTTTGATGGGGCCTGGGGCCTGGGATTCCGAGCTGAGCCCTGGAAAGAGGATCTCTTGGCCCTCTTTCCTGGGAGCTCTGGACCACTGGGCCAGCTTCTTTGGGAGCATCTCGGCAGTGATGGCAGCAGCCCCTGCAGTGACTTGTGCTGATAGACTGATAGTGGCAGCATCGCGGAGGTGGGGGCTGTCGAGTTTGGGGGCACCCAGCTGATGGAGCTGCGTGTTCTCTGTCCCTCTTTCTCTCTCACCTTCTGTGACTACCCTGGCTGGGATGGGGGCATCTAATGCCACCTCTCCCTCCTCCTGGGCGTAGGCACCCAGCAAAGACCCCACTGCTGCTGCTGCTGCCCCTGCACTCAATAGAGGCCACTGTCTGGCCCAGCCGGCTGCAGAGTCCAGCCTGCACACTGTGGTCCGGAGCATCAAAGTGAGTGGCCCACGCAGGGACCCCTCCCCATGTGGCTGGCCCGGCTCAGCCTTGCCCACCCAGCTCGGCCCTGCCTCTTTGACCCAGCCCCTGCTGCCCAGCTCAGCCCAGATTCTCTCTCACGTCACTCAGGTTAGTGGCTATCTCAATCTGCTGGCCAACACCATAGACAACTTCACTCATGGGCTGGCTGTGGCTGCCAGCTTCCTTGTGAGCAAGAAGGTGAGTGGGGGTTGGGGCAGGTGGGGTCCCAGGCATTGCTAGTGGGAATGATGGTGCCTGTGTTGAGCAGTTGGTTCTACCTTCAAAATATGTCTCCAGTCTACCTAATTCTTGCTCCTTCCATTGCCAATCCCCTCATCTAAGGCCCTCCTCCCTCCTTCTGCCTCCCAGACGCTGCTACAGCCTCCTTGTTGATCTCCCTGCACCTTCTTTTGTCCTGAGCTGCTGGTCTGGTCTCTTATGGAATCACTCCTTCCTGGGATCACATGCCTCTTCTTAAAACCCTTCATGGCTTCCCAGAATCCAAGAGAAGCCTGCCAGGCTGCTAGGTCTGGCCAATCAGCTTCTAGATGCTTCTCCCTCCACCCTCTGTGCTCCGGCCCCACTGCACTGGTCTGCCTACTCGGAAAGTGGCCATGCTCTTGCCCACTTCACAGCCTCCACCTCACGCTGTCACTCTGCCCACTCTGAACAGCTGGCTCCTTATCCTGCAGACCTTGCCTTGTACTTGCTCAGCGAGGCCTTTGCTGACCTCCTCGTCTAAGTTAGGGCCCCTGTTATTCATACCCCTGACACCCAGTCCGTCCTTTCCATCACAGCACTTGTCACAGTGTGTAATCACACATTACACTGCGCATTCACTCAATCTTTGTATCTCTCCTTGACTGTAAGCATCATGAGGGTAGGTTCCATTTCTGTTTTACTCACTGCTATATTGCCAGTAGCCAATGCAGTGTCAGCCCAGAGCTGAGTAAAAATTTGTAGTGAGTGAGCGGGTGGGGTGTGCAGGCCCTCAACACAGACCCCCGCAAACTCAGGTTCCCCTCCCTGTAGATTGGGCTCCTGACGACCTTGGCCATCCTCCTGCATGAGATACCCCATGAGGTGAGTGCCCGGAGGGAGGGGTGGCCCTGAGGGACCAGAGACCACTGGCTGGCAATATGGGCCTGGAGCGTGCCGGGAGGAGTTTGGGAGTGGCACCACCTGGCAACTGTAGGGGGGCCTGGAGCATGGGGGGAGGAGTTTGGGAGTGGGACCACCTGGCAACTGTAGGGGGGCCTGGAGCATGGGGGGAGGAGTTTGGGAGTGGGACCACCTGGCAGCGGCAGGTGGGCCTGGAGCATGAGGGAAGGAGTTAGGGCAGTGCAGGTGGGGCTGGACTCTCAGCCTGGAGCTCCTCTCCCTTTGGGCTATAGCCACTGTCGCAGCTGTGCTCCAGCCTCCTCAGGGCTGGGTCCCAGACGATGGGTTGGTGAAAGGCAGGGGTCTCGATGTGGGGTCATGCCTGAGGTATGCAAGGGCCTGGGCCCAGCTGGGACCGAGTGAACATCTGGACCTCCCCTCAGGTGGGCGACTTTGCCATCCTGCTCCGGGCCGGCTTTGACCGATGGAGTGCAGCAAAGCTGCAGCTCTCGACGGCCCTGGGGGGCCTGCTGGGCGCCTGCTTCGCCATCTGTACGCAGTCCCCCAAAGGCGTAGGTACGGGCGTGGTGGGTGGTAGTGGCAGGTGGTGGTCAGCGGAGGGACCCCAACCACAGGGTGCTGCCCCTGGTCTGCCCCTTGGGAGGGGTGGGATCCCATGGCTCCCCAGGCTCCCAGCCAGCAGGCACCCTCACCCCACTTCCCACTGCAGAGGAGACCGTGGCCTGGATCCTGCCCTTCACCTCTGGGGGCTTCCTATACATTGCCCTGGTGAATGTGCTGCCAGACCTCCTGGAGGAAGACGACCCGTGGTGAGTGACCCCCTGGCCTGCCCCTGGCAGGGCCCTCAGGGGCTCAGGAGGAAGGGGCGCCTGGCCTCTGCCCTGAGCCGGGCCGTCTCTCCCCACAGGCACTCCCTGCAGCAAGTACTTCTGCTCTGCATGGGCATCGTGGTGATGGTGCTGTTCTCACTCTTCATCGAGTAGCCATGCCGGACGTCCCCAACCCCACAGCAATAAGAGACTCCGATTCATCCTGTGATTGTTCGTGAGACAGAGGGCGAGTGCATGTGAGAGAGAACGTGCCCCCGACCAGACAGGAGGGAGGGTTGGTCTGTGTGTGGTGTGTACGTGTGGCCTGTGAAGGTGTGTGCATGAGACCGACACTGTGATCCTTCGTGTGCTGGGCCCAGGGCCTGGCTTCCCTCCTTGCCACCTCGCCATTGATCACCTCCCGGAGTGAGCGGTAAAGAACAGCAGCATTGGTCCCAAGCAGAGGCCTCTGCCTGTCAGGACCTCAAGGGGAGGCCTTGGGCCTGGCCTTGAGTGAGAGCAGCCCAAGGACATCTGGGCTGTAGGGAGCCCCAAAGCTGTCCGGCCTCTTGCTGGGGCCTCATGGGTCCCTGGCCTGAGGGCATAAACTCCTCTGCTCATGCACACAGGCCCTGGGCGGCCTAGGAGTCGAGGCTGGGTGGCTTCTCGCTGCTGTGTCCATGTTCCTGGCCCTTCCTTCACCAGATTCCAAGGCCCTTTTCCCTGATGGCCAGAGAAGAGGCAGGTGCTCGTGTGAACCCCCAGCCCCACTCTGCACTGACAGTCACACTCCTCCCAGCACTGAGCTGGGGGATGCTTCCAAGGCCTGTTCCTCCTGGCTGCCCACCCCAGGCCAGCTCCTGGTCCCCAATGCCAACAGCTCTCGCCACCTCCAGCTGCCAAACAGCAGCCTGCAGGGCAGTGAGCAGCCCAGGCCAGCTCAGGGATGCTCCTGCCAGCACAGGGGCCTGGCAGCTACTCTGGGAGGAGGAAGAGTGGGCTATGTGCCTGCCCCCTGCTCGGGGCCCCTTTGCCTTTCCCACTGGGGAAAGGAGTAAGGCGGGGGCAGCAAGGGCCCCTTTTGTCAGTGCTCAGGAATGTGCTTTGGGAGAATGCTGAAGCCATAATCCCCAGCTATTTCCCTTGGCTGTCGCCCAGGTACTCAGCTGGCCCACTCCCTGGCCCAGCTCAAGCTCTGACACTCACTCGCAGCTGTTCTGAGAAGTGGCCATTGAGAGGGTCTGAGTGGTTTTACAGCAATTCTGCTGAGGTTCCGTTTCTATCATCTGTAAATAACTGTTCTATAGACAAGATGCAAATAAATATCACCCACAAGCTGGCTGGCTGCTTCTGTTCTGCAGATTCTGTGTTCAAGCAGGGCTGTCCTGGGTGCCCCAGTCGCCCTGCCTGCTGTACACACCCGCCAGGTTAGCTGCTTTCCCAGCCTCAGCTTCAGGCCACCTCAGGGCCCCTGCCCTGGCTAGCTGCCACCCTGGTCTCCCTAGTCATCCCCACTCTTGCAGAAGGCAACAGAGTATAGCACTTCCTTTTTCTGGCCTGCTTTGTTGTTAGCTTTTTAGCCCAGTAATGGCTAAGCATGTACTATAAGGCTGGCACTATGCCAGTTTAGCCCCTCAGCACCCTCAGGGTGTTATCCTCCTTTTAAAGAGCTACCTGCTGGCACTTTCCCCTGCCCTGCCCCCTGGTAATAAGGAAGCCCCATTCCCAGGTATGACCTTGATGAAACTGCCGTCTTTCATTTAAAAAACAAAGTGTATGGGCTCCTTATTCTAAACCATGCTCCTCTCCCCTGACTGCTGGGCGTAAAGACAACCACCAGGCACCGGGGGGCGCTGTTCCCCCACAGTGCTATCGGGAGAGTGCAGGAGGAAGTGGTGGCCAACTCCTTTCCATGCCAACCAGGACATCTTTGATAGCCTGCTGGCCAAGAACAGCAGTGTCTGCAATGTGAGGAGTCTGGTCTGGGGGGGTGGGAAGCCTAAGTCTGCCATATCCTTAGTATTTTCATCAGCAAAACATTTACAAGGGACATAAATATCTGCTTCACCTAGTTGTGCCATATTCAGGAAGATGTTTCAAGTTCCTGGCCTGATGGAACCAGGTACAAACCCAGGGCTGTCTGTGCCAGCCCCACCCTCACCTCAGCAGGTGCTCAGGACCCCTGCTGTGTGGCGGCCACATACAACCATCTCACACAGTCATCATCAAAAGGAGGCAGTGTGGCCCCACCTTGTAGGTGAGGAAGCCAAGACTGGGAGAGGGTGATGACTGATTTGATCCACACTCTGGGGCCATGGCGAGTACCCTGTCTGGTTAGAAGAGCGAACAGGGGAACACAGGAGAAGGGGGCGAAGGAGGTGGCCAAGCTCAGGGCAGGGGACAGAAGCAGAGGGACTTCAGAGACTGTGCTGCTGGAACTCTAGAGCAGGCAAGTGGGAAGTCAATGGGGCTGCCAAGGAGACAGAGGTGCAAGCAGCCTGGACACAGGGACAGCACCTTGGAGGCAGGCAGACAAGAAGGAAGAGAATCAGCTGGGGAGGAGGTGGCCCTTCCAGGCAGAGGCTGGGACAGCTGTGGTCATGTCCCCTTGGAGGAGGAGAAAGAAGGAAAAGAACTGTAGAGGCTCCTGCCAGGGCATGTGCGAGCTGATGGAGAGTTCTGAAAGGCCATTCAGGAGGTCACCAGAACCCCTGGTAAGACAGCACAGTGGAAAGAAGGCTAGCTTTACTCTCCATCCTGGGTTTGAATCCCAGCAGTGCCACTTAGAAATCGTGCAATCTTGGCCTGGAGCCCGTGGGGGGTGCAGATGATCAGCAGCTAAAAGGTTGGAGGTTTCAATCTATCCAGAAGAGCCTTGGAAGAAAGGCCCAGCAATCTACTTCCAAAAAATCAGCCACAGAAAACCCTATGTGTGGAGCACAGTTCTACTGTGACACACATGGGTCACCATGAGTCAGAATAAACTACAATGGCAACTGGTGGTGGTGATGTAATCTTGGCCCAGTTGCTTAAACCCAACTATAAAATGGGGATACCCTATTGGCTATTCTGATCACTAAATAAAAGTATGCGTAAGACACGTACAGCACGTGGCCCAGAGAAACCTCGACAAATGGTCCCCAGGCTAGCTAAGGTGTGAGGTGGGCAGAGCTGGAAAGCTGGGTGGATGGGAGACGATCTGTGGGGGCCTGGCAGGGAGTAGGGGGCAGATAGCAGAAATGGGGGGTGGGCTGGAGAACACAGCATGACAAAAGATGACCCTAGAAGGGCTCTCAGAGTAGATCTTGCTCAGGCTCCTTTTCCAGCCAGAGGCAATGAGCCAAGAGCCCTAATGGGGACAGAGAAACAGGAGGCTCAGGGGCCTAGGAAACAAGGGAGGAATTTCAAGGAGCAAGGACAAGCGCCAGGGCCCCAAAATGCAAAAAGGGAAAGAAGTCAGCTTCTCTTTAGGCCCTTCATTCCAGAGCTGCAGGGCCACAGGCCTCTAACGGCTCAGAGAGGTGTGGCAGTGGGTGGGAGAGAGGGGCTTGTGGGGGTAGAGGGCACAGGCCTAAGACCCCAGACAACAGCTGCAGCCCTATTCCTATCCCTCCCAAAGGGCCTCACCCTGACAACTGGTTTGGGGCCCATGGCTGTCTCAGGGGCTCCCAGGCACCAGTGGGGGCCTCCTGTATATGCCCCTACTCTTTACCTTGAGCCCTGGGTAGGCAAGACAGACAGGTGGCAGGGACCTGAAACCATCTTTTATTACTTATTTTAACCAGGAAGAGATCAGGGAGCAGGCCTGGCGGGCGGCCCCGCTAGGCGTAGTACTGCAGGTTGGCTTTCTTCTTGGCCTGCACCTCCAGGATGCCCTCCATGTAGTCCTCGTGGGTGAGCTCCGTTGCGCCCCTGCGCAGTGCGATCATGCCCTACAGCCAGGACACAAGGATCTAGGGTGCCTCCCCACACCCTCACCCCTGCTCCCAGAGGTCTTCTCTGTCTCCTCCCCTCAGTGTCTCCACCAGCCAGCCAAACATCCCGTTGGGTCCAGGCAAAGCGGCAAGAAGACATGAAACCACCCACCCACCCCATCAGCCACTCACCGCTTCCACACACACAGCCTTGCACTGCGCGCCATTGAAGTCATCTGTGCAGCGGGCTAGCTCCTCGTAGTTCACATCGGGACTGGGGAGAGCATGGGGCCATGGGGCTCAGTTACTTATGGGGACGGGAGGGAGAAGCAGGTGGTCTCGCCCCCACCACACAGCAAGGTCAACTTGCCCTGTGACCATAGGCAAGCCCCTTACCCACTGTACAAGATGGGGCAGGCTAAAGCAAGTTAGACCAGGTGATTTCTAGTGTCTCTTGAGCTCTAGACTTCTAGAAATCTGCATCTGCAACTCTAGGGATGGACTTGGCCAGAGGCAGGGGAGCGGGGGGTTGTGAGATAAAAGACGGTCGCCTCATATACTCCGGATTAGAGTGGGTCCTGCATCAGCACCGCATGGCCGCCGTGTGCTGTACGCACCACGTTCCAAGCCCGTGCTTGCTGTGGCCACATCCAACTACCCAAACTCCATGAGGATGGTGCTATAACCCCAAGTTCCAGATAAGAAAGCTGACGCTTAGAGAGGTTCCACCACCTGCTGCAGGTTGTGTAGATCTGAGCCCAGGTCCATGGCCCCCGGCTAGAAGCCCTGGGCCACATTTGGGCTGAGCTCATCTGCTAGCAGGGCAGGGGAGCCTGAAGGCCTCTGGCCCGCATGCCCTCAGGTCATGGAGGGTGAGTGGATTCTAAGGAGCAGAGCCCCCAGAATTAGGGCCTGGGCCTCCACAAGATTCTATTTTGGGCAACTGGAGAGAAACGGAGGAGTAAGCGGTGGTGGTAGTCACAGAAGCCTAAGGAAAGCTCCACACAAAAGGAGAAACAGAGACCACCCTTCTGCCGAAGCTGTCCCTCTGGTCCCGGTGCCTGGCTCATCCTGGCTCACCTGACATTCATCTTCCGAGAGTGGATCTGCATGATCCTGGCCCGCGCCTCCTCGTTGGGCATTGGGAACTCGATCTTGCGGTCCAGGCGACCTGAGCGGAGCAGGGCAGGGTCCAGGATGTCCACCCTATTAGTGGCTGCAATGACCTGAGGAAGAGAAGCAACAGCACCTTGAAGAGGAAAAGGTCACAGACAGGGACAGTCACGGTCAGCCCAGGGTGTGGGAGAAATAACGATGGATCTTAAAGACAGACCTGAACTCTAATTCTAGTCCACTGTGTACTAGCTGGGTAACCCTGACAAGAGCTCCACATCTCTAAGCCTCATTTTCTTCATCTGTGACGTGATGACATACTCACCTTTACTTGAGTGTTGGGCTGGAACCCATCCAGCTGGTTCAGAAGCTCCAGCATTGTCCTCTGCACCTCCCGGTCCCCCGCCTTCTCACTGTCAAAGCTGCACACAGGAGGCCCAAGACACCAGTGAGGCACAGCTAGGGCAGAGTCGCCCCCTTCTCCACCCACAGGAAGCCTAACCCAACCTGCCCGGGACAGGGAAACAGGTCGCTCAGTGTGGGGCCTCCAGGCTACAGACTGGCACACAAAACTGTCAGTAACTGTTGATGGCAAATTCCAACTGGAGAGGCTCCTAGGCTCAGATGCCATGCTGAGGACACAACAGAGAGCAAAAACAGCTACTGCCAGCTGTCACCTGATGAACGTATGACTGCACACTTAGCCAAAGGCTGGGAAAGACAGCAATCTGGCCCAGACTTGGGATGTCGTGTGAGGGCTGGGGGAGTCCAGGCAGGCATCCCTGAGGAAAAGTCCCTTAGGCTGAAAACTCACTGAAGGCTCAAGGCTGAAAAGACACTGGCAGGCAACCAACCAAAGGAAAACGGCGGAAAAGAAAAGCACATTCCAGAGAGTAAACAGCAGGTGCAAAATTTCTCCTGTCCCCGAGCTGGGGAGGGCCTAAAAACCATGAGGACATTGTGGGGGGAATCCGGGGGCAGGGTCTGTGTGCAGGACGAGGCGGAGGCCAGCAGGGGCAGCCTGCATGTGGGGCCTTATGGACTCCAGCACATTCAGCATTTTTCCCAAGCAGCAACAGGGAGGCCAAGGAAGGGTTTAAACAGGATCTGTTTGTGTGAAGGACTGTGGGTACATGTAAGGGAAGTGACCAGACTTCTGTTTTGAAAAGAACAGCTGGCAGCTGTGAGAATGAATGCTCAGAAGAAAAGGAGAGAATTTAGAAAGTAGAACGGTAAGAAGAGAGCGGCCACTGTCCCAGTGGAGACGGAAAGAGTCAGAACTTAGGACAGTGGGGAATCCGGGCCCTCCTGCTACAGCGATCTCCTTGGTGGCGCCTAGCACTCCCTTACCGTTTGGTGCCAATGGCGTCCAGCTCATCAATGAAGATGATGGATGGGGCTTTTTCCTTGGCCAGGGCAAAGGCATCCCGGACCAGCTTGGCACCATCCCCAATGAACATCTGCACCAGCTGGGGGCCAGCCAGCTTCAGGAAGGTGGCCTAGGTGGGCAGAGGTGGTGGGATCAGGCCAAAGGTACCAGGAAAGAACCCTTTGAGTCCACCTGGTAGAGCTTCAGCTTCACCCATTCCCTCCTCATTCCTCCTAAAGTACTCACCTTAGTCTGTGCAGCACAAGCCCGGGCCAGCAGGGTCTTCCCCGTGCCCGGGGGACCATACATCAGCACCCCCTTCGGAGGTTGGATCCCCAAATTCTCAAACTTCTCCTTGTGGTTCATTGGCAGGACAATGGCCTCCACCAGCTGCCAGGAAGAAGACCTGGGTGAGGAGAGTGAAGCCCTGAAGGCTCCTACAGCCCAACTAACTCTTGATGGCTTCAGCCCCGATCTGCAACCCTCCTACTCCAATTCAGACATTGCCCTCCCCCTGCCCTATCTCAAGAAGACACAGAAGACCACTCACCCCCACCGAGGGCTGGCTATGACCTCTCAGCAGGATATGGTGGAAAGATACTGGGCTGAGAAGCAGGAGCCTGAGCTCTAGTCCTGACTCTGGCCCTAACTTCTGTGACCCTGGGCAAGTCATTCAATCTCTTTAGAACTCAGTCTCCTATCCTGCTACATGGCACCTCCTTTCCTCCCTAGGACGCGATGAAGATAGGAGACATACTAGAGCACATCAGTGCTCTGGTCAATGAAACAAAGATATGAAAGGCTTTGGCAGCTTCCACGCCTCCTTCACCTCCTGGATCTGCTTGTCCAGGCCCCCGATGTCACTGTACTGCTCTGTGGGCCTCTCATCCACTTCCATGGCCTTCACTCTTGAGTCGTACTCTGTGGGCAGGGTCTCCAGGATTAGATAGGAGTCTTTGTTCACACCCTAGGAATAGGACAAAGCCTTCAGATTTGTCCTAGTTCAAAGCCTACCTAATTGGCAAGGTGACAAGTGTCTCTAGAGTGAAAGGAAAGACATGGGACTGGGAAACATAGGAAGCAAGGAACAGGAGGACACGTCCCAGACTCTCGGGGCTGCTCTGCTGAGATTTGGGGCCTGTGGTGACCTGGGGGCTGAGGCAGGGGCTCAGCTAGTCAATAGGAGAAACCTTGCTGGAAAAGCCCCACCTGGGCTCAGGTACCACTCACCACCAGGTCTCCTGGCTTCAGCTTTTCAGCATCTACCAACCCAATTACAGGCAGGAAGTATGTCTGTAGGAAAGATTCCAGATGCAGTCTCCATTACTGTCCTTCCCATATCCTCCCCCTGCCCTCCTCAGTTCTCCCATAGTTGAGCCAGCCTCACCTGTCGTGTAGAGGTTTTGATCACTGCACACTTGCCCTTCCTCTGGGAGTCCAGGTCAATATTGGCACCATCTTCCTCTTGGTCATTGGGATCAACATCGAGCAGCTGACAAGGGAAAATGCTCGGATCAAGAGGCCCTGCTCAGCCTCCTGTACCTCCACACTGCCCGGTGCTTCCTGGGTCCTGAAACAATTCCCAACACTCGCTGGCCATCCCTTCCTCACTCCTCAGACTAGTCCTGAGCCCAGCACACATGCAGCTGATAAGTCAGGAGATTGACAAGATCTCTGCTTAGGTGCTGCTTCTCTGCACAGAGCTTATCCACTCCTGAGGAAGAGTAACACAGCAGATGAGGAGATATGAGGTTTCCAATGCCTTTTCGGGCCCTCCTCCCAGGAAGTACAGACTAGGAGGGGGCCCCAGGAGGTGTACCTCTAACATGCAATCTGGGCCTCAAAACTTCCACCCATTCTTTCCCCAGTGGCCCCACCCCAGGCTGTCCCCAAGCCCTAATGAGAACCTCTTCCCCTCCACATACACACACACCTCGATGACGTTGGAGACGAGGTACGGCAGGGTCTTGTTCACTTTGATTTTCTCACTGTTCTCTTTGATCTTATCTTTCATGGCTTGGAGCTCGTGGGTGACTCGCAACACTTCACTCTTCATGATCTAGGATGGTGAGTGGAAGCATATGTTCAGCCCCGGAAGCATATGTTCAGCCCCACGCTGCTCATCCTAAGACCCTGCAACTGGTGAGTTCCAGGCTGCCCAGGGGACCCCTCCCTTCACCCAGCTCTAAGGCTCCCCGAAGGCTGAGCCTGACTGTCTACATGCAGCTGAGGTCCAAACAGAAGGCCAGTCTGGAAACCTGGTGAAGTAGTTGGAGAATAAAGAAACGACTAGGCCTTCATCAGGCAAACATAAACTTAAGTTCTGCCTTTTACTAAAGGCTGGGCACTTTGGCACAGTTAAAAACCTCTCTGAGTCACAGTTCCCTCATCTGTAAAATAAAGATGCTAATAGCAGAAGGATTCCTGAGAGGAATACTTAAGACCTCTTTGGGAAGGGCAGTCTGGTGATCACTCCTCTCTAGCCTGCTGTCCCACCCCAGTCCCTCCAATCTTCCTTCCTGTCCCCTTTCAAGCTTAGTTTTCTTTTCTCTTTCCCTGGGGAGCAAGGAGAAGTCGCGGGCCACATGTCCCCCCTAGGAGAAAGGAAAACCAAGAACGATGTAGAAGAGGCGGCTGAAGTCTCCAGGCCTGCCCAGTGGGGGCTCCACTACGACAAGGGCAGTGCGTCCACCTTGATCTCACTGTCCAGCAGCCGTGTGCGCTGAATGATCTCTTCCGTGGACATTTTGAGTACCTCCTCCCCGATTCCATCTTGCTGTTAAAAAAAAAAAAAAATTATTGTTTTCACTCACAGCCCGCCTATAAAATCGGAATAAGGGAGTGAGGATCCCCGTCCACATTCTTGGCCAAATCCCAAGCGGCCCCCTTCCTGGGACCAGGCCAGAACTCGACCCCTCAGACATTTCCTTCCCTCCCCCTTAGTGCGTCTCCCCAGTGGCCCCGGCTCTGGGACCCATAGCTCTCCCGGCGCCCACCTCAGCCTCATCCCACACGGTCGCCATCTTTTCCTGCCGAGTCACTGGATCGTTGAGTTCCGGCATTAGATTCACTTCTTGGAGGAGAAGGCCGAAGATTGGACGGGCAGAAGCTGCGGCAGGAGATTAATGCCGTCTTTCTTAACGCCTGCCCCTCACTAGTGCAGACCTTTCCTCGCCAAATACTCAACCCTTGCCGGGATTAGCTCCGGCCGCGTTAGCAAGGCGAATCTGCTTTTCCGACTCAAAAGACGAAGCCCGGGCCACAGGCCCCGCCCCCGTGGTTCCTGAAGCATTCCCGCCCTCGTCCTGTTTATGCCGGGCACGATGGGTGGGGCCACTATTGGGGCGGGGCCTGAATGTAAAACCGGAAGAGGTGGCAGAAAAAGAGGGTAGCCGCGAGGGCCCTTGGTAAATGTAGTTTTAATATGGCCTGTAACTGAAAGAATACTTCCCGGCGGGCGATTTCAACCCCCAAATCTGGCCCTGCTAGAATTAGGGAATTCACACAATAGCACTGCCTCCCAAACCATAAACAACACGCGCCAGATGTGTGCAAAGGGCTAAAAAAGGAGGATACCACCTCGGGCTGCATTTTTATAATAATTATTTAATTACAAGCTGGCCACTCAGGGTTACCGGAGAAAATCATTAGCCAGTCGTTAAGAGAGAGATAAATCACTGCTGCGGCTTGTGCTAACTCCGGAGCAGGCTCGACGGAACCATGTGGGAAAAACTCCACTGACAGCCTCCACAATTAAAAACATTATGACTCACGTCTGTGGTCGTCCGTTTTCTCTGGTTAGTTACTTCAGTGAGTAGGGCAGATTGCTTTGTATCATGGGCTCAGAGGACTCATTTGTTTAGCTGTGTCTGCTGCTCTGGAGGAGCCACAGAATCCGCCTACCCCCGAACTCCATGTAAATCCCGTCCTTTATATTTTAAGCCAAGCCATCACAAATACCCTCCAACTTGGTGAAACTCTGCCCAGTGGTTTTCTTTCTTTCCTGCAATTGAAGGCAGGAATTTACTTCTTTAGATAACAACATCTGCGGTTGCTCAGTCAGACTGACAAAGCACCTCCTTGGATAGCAGCATTTGATTCCATCCTCTCAACAGTCCTGCCCTGTGGACAGATTATTCTCAATTTTAGATAAGGACATGAAAGCTCATAGAGGTTAAGTGACTTTCCCAAGGTCATTCAGTGAGTTGGTGTCAGCACTGGGGCTACTGACCCCAAATTCCCACTTTTCAAAGTAGCCTGATAGAAGTCGAGTCCCGGTTGGGAAAGTGATGGTTTTCACTGCCTGTGCTGGTTCCACCACACCTCAAAAAGGAAGGTCCAGTTCTGGGCCCGGCATTTGGAGATTCCAACAAATATGAATATGTTTAGAAAGACACCAGCCTGGGCCTGTGATGGTGGTGGCAGGTACTGACTAGAGTAGCCTGGCACTCAGATGAAATGAGCAGACACTCGTTTCACTCAGGGTTACTGGAGAGAATCATTAAATGGGAGCTTCTTTCATACCCAAGAGGCTGTTAAGGAAGAGTCAGACTTGGCCTCACTGCATCCAAACAGTGGAAGAACTGGGATGCTTGTTGTTGTTAACCCATTGTCATTGAGTTGATTCTGACTCATAGTGACCCTATAGGACAGAGTAAAACTGCCCCATTGGGTTTCCAAGGAGTGGCTGGTGGATAGCAGCCGAACACTTAACCACAGTGCCACCAGGACTCCTTCTTGTTGTTGGACACCATCAATTCCAGCTCATAGCAACCCCACGTGACAGAGCAGAACTGCCCTCATAGGGTTTCCTAGGCTGTAATCTTTATAGCCCCCACGTGTCTGTCAGTTTGTCATACTGTGGGGGCTTGTGCGTTGCTGCAATGCTGGAAGCTATGCCACCAATATTCAAACACAAGGGGGGTCACCCATGGTGGACAGGTTTTAGCTGAGCTTCCAGACTAAGACAGACTAGAAAGAAGGACCTGGTGGTCTACTTCTGAAAAGAATTCGCCAGTGAAAACCTTATGAATAGCAGCGGAACACTGTCTGATACAGTGCCGGAAGATGAGCCCCTCAGGTTGGAAGGCACTCAAAAGATGACTGGGGAAGAGCTGCCTCCTCAAAGTAGAGTCAGCCTTAATGACGTGGATGGAGTCAAGCTTTTGGGACCCTCATTTGTTGATGTGGCAAGACTTAAAATGGGAAGAAACAGCTGCAAACATCAATTAATAAATCAGAACGTGGAATGTACAGTGGCTGCAGCAGTATATCGACAGGGAACTGCCAGAAATTCAAGCCAGATTCAGAAGAGGATGCGAAACGAGGGATATCATTGCTGATGCCAGATGGATCCTGGCTGAAAGCAGAGAATACCAGAAAGATGTTTACCTGTGTTTTATTGACTATGCAAAGGCATTCAACCGTGTGCATCGTAACAGATTATGGGTAGCATGGCGAAGAATAGGAATTCCACAACACTTAATGGTGCTCATGAGGAACCTGTACATGGATCAAGAGGCAGAACAAGAACAGAACAAGGGGATACTGCATGGTTTGAAGTCAGGAAAGATGTGTGTGAGGGTTGTATCATTTCACCATACTTATTCAATCTGTATGCTGAGCAAATAATCTGAGAAGCTGGATGTAACGGATTGAATTGTGTCCCCCAAAAAATGTGTGTAGCAACTTGGCTAGGTCATGATTCCTAGTATTGTATGATTGTGTTATCTGATGTGATGTCCTTATGTGTTGTGAACTCTACCACGATGACGAGATTATATGTGATCTCCTCATGTGTTGTAAATTCTATCACTGTGATGAGGTTATACTGATGAGGTTGACAAGATTAGTGTCTTAATGCAATCTCTTTTGAGATATAAAAGACAGAAGCGAGCAGAGACACGTGGGAACCTCATACCACCAAGAAAGCAGTGCCAGGAGCAGAGTGCGTCCTTTGGACCTGAGGTTCCTGCACAGAGAAGCTCCCAGACCAAGGGAAGACTGATGACACGGACTTTCCTCCAGAGCCGATGGAGAAAGCGTTCCCCTGGAGCAGATGCCCTGAATTTGGACTTGTAGCCTACTGGACTGTGAGAGAATAAATTTCTCTTTGTAAAGCCATCCACTTGTGGGATTTCTGTTGGAGCAGCACTAGATGACTGAGACACTGGACTATATGAAGAAGCACTGGGCATCAGGATTGAAGGAAGGCTCATTAACAACCTGCAGTATGCAGATGGCACAACCTTGCTTGCTGAAAGTGAAGAGGACTTGAAGCACTTACTGATGAAGATCAAAGACCACAGCCTTCAGTATGGATTACACCTTAACATAAAGGAAACAAAATCCTAACTGGACCAATAAGCAACATCATGATAAATGGCAAAAAGATTAAAGTTGTCAAGGATTTTCTTTTACTTGGATCCACAATCAACAACTATGGAAGCAGCAGTCAAGAAATCAACATATGGCATTGGGCAAATCTTCCACAAAAGACCTCTTTAAAGTGTTAAAAAGCAAAGATGTCACTTTAAGGACTAAGGTGCGCCTGACTCAAGCCATGGTGTTTTCAATCGCCTCGTATGCATGCGAAAGCTGGATGATAAATAAGGAAGACTGAAGAATTGACACCTTTGAATTGTGGTGTTGCCGAAGAATATTGAATATAGCATAGACTGCCAAAAGAACGAACAAATCTGTCTTGGAAGAAGTACAACCAGAATGCTCCTTGGAAGCAAGGATGGCGAGATTACGTCTCACATACTTTGGACATGTTATCAGGAGGGATAAGTCCCTGGAGAAGGACATCATGCTTCGTAAAGTAGAAGGTCAGTGAAAGAGAGGAAGACGCTCAAAGAGATGAACTGACACAGTGGCTGTAACAATGCGCTCAAGCATGACAATTGTGAGGATGGCGCAGGACTGGGCAGTGTTTCGTTCTGTTGTGCATAAGGTCACTATGAGTCAGAACCAACTTGACGGCGCCTAACAACAACAATCTTTATAGAAGCAGACCACCAGGTCTTTCTCCTGCAGAGCCGCTCTGTGGGTTCGAACTGTCAGCCTTTCAGTTAGCAGCCAAGCACTTAACCATTGCACCACAAGGGCTTCACCAGGATACTAGTACCTGGTGATTTACAGGGAGGGGATTTACAGGGAGACTGATTTCAGTCCATTCTTCAGTCCAAATTCTCTCTGAGTTGAAAGAGTCTGCCCCAGGAGGCGATGAGCTTCCTGTCATAGGAACAGGGAAGGCAAGGGTGGCACCACAACCTGGTGTAGTGTTACTGAGGAGATTCTTGAAAGGGATGGATGATTGGCCCATGGTGTTTTAAGGACCTTCCTAGGTTGAATGTCTCATTCTTTGATCCTGGCTGGGATGATAGACGTTGATTATCTTGGGATTCCAGCAGTAGGAATGTGTTGGGGGAGGCGGGATAAAAAGGAGAATGGGCGTATGAGGATTCAGGCTACTCAAGGATATCAAAGCAGTACTACAAGGTCAGTCCCAGCAGGGAGCTGAGAATCTGGGACTGAGCAAGACCCCAGGGAGAATGGGGTTATCCCAGCTTGGGCCCTCAGTCCCTCTGGGACTTCTAGAGAGGAGAAGGGGCCTAGATCAGGCCTAGAAAGGGGTGGAACAGGGTGTCCTGGGAGCTAGAACATCGCATAAGGAGAAGCTAGAGCTGGAAATGGATCCGGAATGGCCAAGCAACCCCATTAGAACCGTAGGCTCCTGGGGTGGGGCTGGGAGGCAGGTGCAGAGAAGGCAGGTCAGAGCCCATCTCTGTTCTGTGACCTTGGGTAAGTCTGCTCTCCTTCCTGGACCTCGGTTTCTCCATGTGGGAAATGGAAAGGCCCTCACACCCACCACACAAGGTTGTGATGAGGATTAAGCAAGTAGAGTCACTATGAGTCAGAATCGAATTGACAGCAATGGGTTTGGTTTTTTGTTTTGGGATGTGAAAGGGCTTTGAGAATTGTGGAAAAGCAGATGTTTCACTGTCAGCATCCGGCTGAGGTTAGAGACACCCCTCTCTAACCTGTTCTCCAGAGTGTAGCCAGAGAAATCTTTCCAAACCAGACCTGGTCATGGCATCCTACTCTCCCAAAAGATAAAACCAAATAAAGCCCTCTTGGAGGTGTCTGGCCCTGTCCCCACTGCTACTGCCACATTTCCCACATGAGCCCTCCCTGGCTGTGCTTCAGCCTCTGCCCTTTGCTTGGTTCCTCAACCAGCCAATAGCACCCCCTGCCTTTGTTTCT